GAGGGGAGAGAGGGAAAATAGACTAAACAAAAGCAATTATATGATACAAATCTTGCTATGATGGATGCAATGTTTTCATTTTTTCTTTGTTCTACAAAACATGCTTTTAAAAACTATGATATGATGTGTGACCATGTGTTGAACAAACCTGGACATGCTGACGAAAGCATAGGAAGGGACATATTGCATCCTTCACCATCAGTTGAATGATGCTGCTTGTACCGTGCAACAAACTCATTGCATGCTTCAATAAGTGATAAGTCCCTACTGCAGCTGGTATCAAATATAGACTTTACCCCCAAGGACTTGAAAAAGGTGGTAAGTTTCCTGAAAACCTGAAGACCCAGAAAGGAGAGAAAACATTTATGTTTATAATGGCAAATCATATGCATAATTGGCAACTAATAAATGATTAAAGAAGCACAACATATTTTAGCCAGGCATGGAAAGCTCTATATTCCAAGGAAGATGTCCTAATCATAGATTTAAGCATGCTCTGATTTGTGAGAGAAAAGCAAAGTTTTGTAATCCAAAGAAAGGAAATAGGACAGTCATTATTCTCTATGTTACCTGAGATGGAGAAAGGCCAAAATGTGCAGCTAAGGAAGCCCTTGACTGCGGGGAGACAGAGACAATAACAGCCTTTCCGGATCTGATGCTAGAGAGGAACTCATCTAAACTTTGTTTCTCAAGCATAACTGTCTCAGCAGATGTTATGCAGCCACTGAATGACATATGAAAAATTACTTTTCTGCCTTAAAAACATTTCGAGGCATAAATTTTATAAAAATAATTAGGATTTACAAGATTGAAATTATTAAAAATGAAACAAGTTACAATCAAGTGCCCTGTAGTAGCACTTACAAGGGAAAAGTTCTGCACATGATAGGGATCACCAGAGGAATATCCAGAAGAATCTCCAGTAAAGAGGGAAAAGAATTCAATTGACAGAGAGAAAAGTTTACCTAGTTATATAATCAAGTTCACCTACTTATATAATTGTTTGGGGCCTTTACCTAGTTATATAATTAAGTTCACCTACTTATATAATTGTTTGGGGCCTTTACCTAGTTATATAAATATATAATCAAGTTTTGAGTTAGAAATATCAGAGTCACATCACATGGAAGAATCAATTATTTATTTAGTCCTTATACTTTCTTACTTTTAGCATTATTAGGAGTGTTACAAAGAGCTGTTTTATTATGCTGAATATGTCTCAATTGCAACCCCATATAGTTGGGATAAGGTGTGGATAATGATGATGTCACCATTGCAACTTGCAAGGCTTTAAAAGGCTAAAGGTGAAGCAAGGCGGTTGGGTCTTAGAGGGGCAAAGAATAAGCCTCAAAAACTTTAATATATATTCTGTGAAACAAAGACTAAATCTACTGTAGTTTTTTATATATTTTGGAGTACAAATCATTTCTTTTAACTCCAATTTATATTTTTCATTTTCATCACATAAATATTCTTTTTTATATTTTTGGTCTGCAAAATATTCTTTTTAATATGAACCCTATATCTTTGAAATTTTATTTTATGTTGATATCTTTCTCTCTACCTAAATGAAATATTCTGTTTACTTAATTTACATGTATTCTAGTTTATCCATAATATATATATATATATATATATATATATATATATCAGTAATTTCTTATGCATGTTTGGAATAGAAATTATTTCTTTCATAGCCTATTTACTTTTTATTACATATGTGGCTCAGCCTCTCAGGTCTGTTATGAAAGTTGTGACAATACCATTGGCTGTGCTGTGAACGACCATATGGGGTGAAAGGAACAATAGGATTTTTGAGGAAGAAAAACTGATAAACCAAATGGTTGAAGAATTAGGAAGCTGGATGAACAATCATATACAGTTCAAAGAAGACTTTTTTGTCTTCTTTCTTGGCTGTAGAATTTTTTGGGGGTTATTAAAGATGTTCATATGTACAGAGACTTTTCATTCAGTGAACATTGTATACTTTTTATTTTACATCTATAGCCTTCTCTACCTAAATGAATACCATGTTTTGTTTGTTGTTTGCTACCTAGCAGTATAGGATTTTTTTCTTCCTGTGAAGGCTTTTGAGTTTACCCCTTTGTAAACTCATGGATCACTTTGAATACAACTCATACATTTCCTTGTTTCAAAAGAATAAATAAATATTAATCCTACTGCGTGTTATGGGTGAGCAAATGGGTTGAGATGCTACTCACATACAGTAGATTTAGATGTGGTGATTTCCCTTCAATATTCTATAACTGATTTCTATTATTTCTACCATCCACTTGCTGTTTAAATATTAATTCCTACGCATAGATTTTATCAATCCCGCTACATTTTTTAAATCTTGTTGACCTATAGCCATGTAAATACCCTAGATGACCTTCACAATTCATTCCAACCTGCAGTCATTCCTTTGCACATCATCCACCTTTCCTTAAACCTTGGTCTAGCCTCTTTAGATCTAACATGAGAACACTATTACTGCCCTAATTTGAGCCCCTCATTCCATGGGCTTTGCCCCAAATTCCAAGCATGCACATTCCTGTCATAACCACTAATTAAACTAGCCACAAATAGGCCCCAATTACACTAGATTTCAGCTCTAATAAACCATGTTTGACCAATCAATCAGAACTAGGAAATCCCAAACCTCATCCTACAACCACCCTAAAGACATCACAGCCAGTTTGATTTCTTTGTGCAATATAACTTGATGACTGGAAACATTTTATCCCATGATTCACACATCAAGTATGCAAAAGCTAGAATTCAAAAACTTCTTTTACCAATAATTTCAGAATTTTCTAATATTTTAACTTGCATTCACTAATACATTTCTATTGTCAATGTGAATATCTGCATCTTCACTAAAACTCATACAATTAGGGTGGGGGTCTGCAATGTGATTATCTGCATTCTCTAACACATTTTTAACTGAAACATTTTCAGCTTCATATTCTGGGCTCATTTTTTTCCTTCTCAATATTTGTCTCTCCATGACTTTTTTGGAGAATGGTAACAATCAGAAGATTATATTATAGAAAAAGAGGATATATACACGATAGGACAACTGGAGTCTACAAGGCTTTGCATACTATAATTCACTCACAATGATAATAACATATATCATCAACATCATCTGCCTCATCCTACCCAAGTGAAGCCAACAGTACAAATCCCATTCCTCTGTACGACTGCAAGCAATCAATGAACAATGCAAGTGTAAAATTTAGATTCTACATCCAAGTTAAAACTAAGGAATTAACAATAACATGGAGAGGACAATACCATGTCTATATCCAAGTTCGTAAGTTTCAACTTCAATGATTTCCAAGGATGCCTTCATATGCAGTTGGTTATCATAGTTCATATAAGCTAACTCTTAATGATAGACATGAATGGAGCAGGATGATTGATTGTAAAGGCCTTAGCAGAAGTGGTAGTAGCATTTAGTGTTAGGAAAGAAAATAGTCACCTGCCTTTCATCCAGGGAAGTGCAAGTGGATTCAAATAGTTCAAGGATTCACTTCCAATCAGGTCTTAGCAGAAGGGTCAAGTGCCTAGTTTGACATTTTCTATTTGCAGTCATGGTGTACTTAATGCAGCATTATTTTATTGTCAAGTAATAGAAAATTGAGTTATTATCAAATGCGGATGTATATCTTAAAACTGTCCATGCCACCTTTTATATATTTTATTTCTAAAGTCAGTGCAGTAAAAGAAAACTACATAACACATACAATATTGGTAATCATCACAGTCCACGGTAATTAATGCCTCACAATTATTTTGCTTCAAGCTTTAATTTTTTTCTTTTCAATTTTACACAAGTATAAATACTACATCAAGGGAGCAGGTTTTCATTCTCCTCCTTGAATTTTTATATGTTTAAACTTTGTGCAAGATAGAAATTGTCAACAGATACAAAGGTTTGTTACTGAAAAATAGGTCATTGCATATTGGACACATTTCACTCTATCATGGTATGCACATGAAAAAAGAATGCTAGACAATTTTATTATCATATGTCATCAAATAAGAAAATTAAAGTAATGAAAGGAGATATCTCCTACCTGCATGCTAAGCAGTCTTTAAGTGAAATTTTAACTGGTTCTGTTTGTGAGGGCTTGAATGGAGGACCAATCTTCTCTTGGTTCTGAAAAATAAGATTAAGAGGCAATTATGACACTAAAAACCTCTTATAGCAGACACCAACATGATACTGATAGATTTCTTAAAACAGATGAGTAATTATTATTTACAGGAAATGGTTATTTTGATACCAACATGATACTGATAAAATACAAGGTAGAAAATGGTGATTTTGATACCAACATGATACTGATAAAATACAAGGTAGGAAATGGTGAACAAGTGTTGTTTGGAGAACAAATGGTGTGACGGAAGGCCTCTCATGGCCTTTTCTTTTTTTTTTTTTGTTTGGAAGAGTAATGAAGAAAAAATTTATTAAAATAGAAAAGAAAGATACAATCTTAATGGGTGTCAAGGTAACACCCAACCAACTAGAAACTATGAAAACAAGTTAACATTACAGGCTGGGATCTCAAGAACACCCAGAAATTTTCTACTAGATCTACACTGTTAAATTGCTCAATTTCTGGGAAAACCAAAACCCAGCAGCCAGCTTGAAACAAGCTTTCCAACTGAAGCCACCAAAGTTTCAATGCCTCTTCATTTGTCCTCGAACAGTCTTTTATTTCTTTCCTTCCACAATGCCCAACACACTGCAAAAGGGATGCAGCTCCAAATAATTTATGCATCTTGCTTCCTTTAAATCTTGGCCAAGCCAAGAAGATCTCTACATGTGAGAAAGGCTGAAAGAGTAGAACCTCCATACTTTTTCCCATTTTACTAGATGAGCCTTCTTCGTCCCCCTTTTCCATTTCCAAAGGAAATCCCTCTGCAGTTTCTCTATTTTGATAGCCAGCTCATTTGGTATCTTTAACAGTGAAAGATAGTAAGTAGGTAAGTTTAACAGACACTGTTATGGACGCCTTCCTTGGGAAGACGTACCATCGCCGCCGGCAGCAACAGGCCCCGGGCCCACCGCCAGCAGCAGCAAGGATTCAGTGATGCTCATCCTACCCAGTTCGGCAATAGCAGCCTTATCTAGATTAGATTAGCTCATTTTGCT